TCGATTTCTTCATCGACGTCCTCTTCTTCAAACTCCATCGGTTCTTCAGGATCCTCCATGAGTTCCTCAGGGTATTCTTCTGGGTCTTCCTCAATCCAACCCCCATTCCCCTGATTGGGAAAGTAAGGGTCTTTGGGGAGGTGAAAGCATGCCATGTCGTCTGTGCAAGAATATATGAGTACAAGAAAATAGATAGAATGTCAAAATTCCCGTATAGCATTTTAGGTTTGGTCCTTAAAACTTTTGGGTAACCAGTTGGGAAGCTTTACACTTGTTGCAACACCACTATCACTCCCGAACACATGTTGGTCATATCTCAAATAAATATAGTTGATCAGACTATATTTGTCCCATATATGAGTACATAACTGTCTAGGGTTGACTGTAGTGTCCAACCTTTAAGTTATCTTGTTTTGTTCTTGTTATGATACGGTCCTAGCAAGTATGTATACTTTTAGTCAGAGTGTTTTAGTCCCACTTTATTTATAGTTGTATATCTTATATGACTAGATATACTAGTTCACTATAAACAATGCTCTGATACCAATCTGTCACACCCCGGACCAGACGGCGGAAACGTCCGGAGGCGAGTGACTTCATTGTGCAGTATCATAACAATTGAATATAATTAAAACATAGCAAATCCAAACATCATACATTGAGATTACAAGATTACATTGTTTTACATCTTGTTCATGTTCTTGAATTACACAAAAGAGACAATATTGAGTACATATCAAACTACATCGAAATAAACTTGGTTCCACGTTCCATTAACCTGCTTGTTGATTTCCTAAGAATACTAGTCGTTTGAAAAGCGTCAACATAAAATATGTTGGTGAGTTGATAATCATTTTGTATAAAAATATGTGGTAGTTTGTAAAACAAGAAAATCCCTTATTTTCTTATCATAAGGTTTGTAAATTATCTATCCAAATCAGGTAAAGTTGCATGTGTGTCTTAGTTTATCGTTTTTCGAACTTGTATAAAATCGTTTTCCCCATACAATCCTATATTTTCTGATGTGTAAGGTGATGCTCTTAAGACCCTAAGACTGGTGTAATAAAAGCTTCATTATAGTACTCAAAACAATCGTTGTCTAAAATGAAAGGTGTAACTTGGGTAGTTTTCTAAAACATACTGTTATATTCTTAGTGAGTCATTATAACCATACTAATATGACGGAGTGCCTGTATTGACGTTCTTCAGGCGTCGGTTTCGTTTAAGACATTTGTCACCCTAGACTGGCCGGTCTAGCTGTAGCGAACAACGAAGGTGCGGGGTGTCAACCCCATATAGATCTATACACAAATTCCCGCTCCCCCTCCAGGAGACTCTGGTTATAATTTTTACAGGACTTTAAGCGTACACTATATATATATATATATATATATATATATATATATATATATATATATATATATATATATATATATATATATATATATACGTGAAGATTTGTCTGACTAAAATACTAACATATTTTCCTTGGTGTAAATCGTTGAGATTCGTTATTTATTAAATAAATAATAATAGTTGTTTTTATGGACTAAATATTTCTTTTCGTTTCACTTTGTTTATTGAGAATAATCCACTATAAATATTTATCCAAAATGACCCTATATTATCGGAGTTGACAAAAATGGTCCTTTTCTTTATAAATTACTATATAAAACCCAAGTTTTGTCCGAATATGTCAAGTTATGCTTTGTGTAAAACTATGACTCGTGTAAAACTATGTAGAAGATGAAGAGATGGTGGGGTGTTTTAAAGTGGACGTGTCTAAGTTGGAAGGGGAAATGAATTTCTGATTGCCTTGGTGATCTGGTGGTTAAAGCTTTGATATTTGGTGGGCAAATCATGAGTGACTGTGAACTGCATGGGAAATGGAAGATTACATCTCATCATAAGGTCAACCTCTTATCACTTTATGTTTTAATATAATACTTTTATAGATTAATAATTATTATTTATGTAAACATGTTTGTAAATACTCAAATTTAGCATAAAATAGTGGTTTAGGAGGTCTAAGTTATGAAAAATATGAGTTTGATGGGATTCCCGACGTCAAAATTTCCTAAAATGAAGAGAAGTTCCGAAATGGTCAAAAATCCGGAGTCAAAAGTGAGTTCCGGAGTCAGATAGGCGAGTTCCGAAGTCAATTTCCATTGTTTCGGAAGCTTTGATCCGGAACCAATTCCTTCCGAAGCTACGAGGCGAGACCCTTCCGAAGTAAACACGAAGGCTCCGAATGAGGTTGTCCGGATGAGAGGTTATTCCAGAGCGAGATTGTCCGGTGCCGGGGTATTCCGGAGTCCATCAGGAGGTCCGAAGCAGGGAGGGATTCCGAGATGCGAATCTTCCCGGTTCCTTAGAAGGTATTCCGGACTAAGAGGGTTCCGGGCCAAGAAGAGAGGTTCTGAAAATGAATAGTATTTTCCGGAATGGGCTTGTTTTTTTGAGTTTTCTCCTCTCGTTTTGAGTTGTTTTTGACTAAGGAAGACACATAGAGGGATTTGGGAGAGATTTGATATACATGGAGAGATTTGGGAGAGATTTGATATTCATGGAGAGATTTGGGACATATTTGATATACATGGAGAGATTTGGGAGAGATTTGATATTCATGGAGAGATTGGGAGAGATTTGATATACATGGAGAGATTTGGGAGAGATTGAGAGATACATAAATACTTTGCATTATAATAATACATGGTTCATTAGGACTTTGAAAATACCTAGCTAAAAGGCTAGTTGTGACAAACTTTCACTGCAATGTTGGGTAGAAGGGGTTGTACTTTGAAAATAAAAGGCTATAACTTAGTAGATTTTTCTATGTACAATCTCTTCATAATAAAAACATTAAAGTAAAATGTTGTAAGAGAATTAAATGAAAGTAGGATTCTAAAATTATCTAACTGAAACCAAGCATAGATAATGATTTCCCTTTCCAGTTTCTACTGATTCTAAAATTAGAGGCCAACCTAAAAGTCAATATAAAATTTCTTTCCATTGTATTAAGTGTTCAATGGATTTTGTATGGTTAGTTAATCAATGCATACAATGATCATATAAAGTTTGTGTGATACTAAAAATGGAATAGATTCATATTTAATATTTCAAATTCAAAGCTGAAGCAACTCATACAAACTGAATTTATAGTAACACTAGCTCTTTTCTTCTAATTAGCTAAAAACTCAGACTTCCAAGTGTCAATATTTGAAACTCTAAAACTTAAAAACAATGGATCTCAACTAAAGAATCCTATTTTTATTTAATTATATGTAAAGCACGTAGCCTTTCTTTCTTGCTCGTTTTTCATACCTCATGCTAATGCAGCAATGCAACAGGAGACGACAAGATGACATTGACTTGGATAGCAGCTTCCCTCCACCAATGTAATCGCATCCGCTACCCTCCTTCTCAAGGGCAAAACTAGTGGATTCAACCATATTCATAAGTGGGGTTCATGAGTAAGGGTACTACAATCTCCTTGGGGTTAGTGAAATTAAAAATAAAAAGTATTTACAGATTATCTATATTAATTTTAGGGTAATTGTATGTCAAAGTGATTACATAGATCTTTGCCATCCGATTTACAATACTAGTAACTACTTAGATTTTTTACCAAATCTGTGCATATCAAGTGTTTGATAGAATGAATGAACTTTATTGCTATTTGGAAGCATGGAATCTTCCGGACAACATTTGTATGTTGAACCAACTGGAATCTCTCAATCTTGTGAAAAAGTGAATTGTTTCGTGCTTGAGAAGTTACCTGAAGAGGGCTTCTTGAGTCGTTTGGTTTTACATCCGAGATACAAATCCGATGAACAAGAAGGCAAAATTTACTGTTACATGGAGTTCTCCTTTACTATACTCTTATAGTACTTTGATGGACGATTTTGAGAAACTCCTAAGGCTTGTAAAACCTAATTTATAAAGAACGAGTCATACAGGTCCTTTCTCTTTCTCTGTTATCTATTTATCACTTAACTTAGATGTTAATTTTGAGATTGACATGACAAGAATTAATTTTTTAGCCGAAAATCATTAACCATATTTTAGTAAATACAAATCTCGTAATATTGTTCGTTACTTCATGTTGTTCGAGAGGAAGGAGGAATATATTGTCCATTTCAATGACCAACATTTTACTCTAATACCAATTCCCCCATACAATTTCGCTTTAATTTTAACCTTAGCATGGTATTTGACCACGAATGGCTTAAAGTTGTAAATATGTTGCTATAAGATTAAAAAAAACTGAAAGTTCATTGCTATAAACTTAAAAAAAGTTCAAAAAAACGCATGGTATTTTGGTGGTACCACTAACAAAAAGGTATACGCGATTGCTCCTTTCCAACTCTCCAATGTCTTTGAGATCGGACGGTAGCACTTCACAACGGCCCTCCCGTTTTACTGCCCTTAGATTACGAGAAATTAAATATCCCCCTACTTTTGTTCCTACAAATCTTCCTACTCAATTAAATGATGACATGTGTCATATTAATATATTAGAATATCATTAAATGAGCATTAAATGTTATACATGTCAGTATTTAATTGGGTAGGAGGATTTGTAGAAACAAAAAATAGGAGGATATTTAATTTCTCTTAGATTATTTATTGTTAATGTAATTATATTTAGATTATTTAATAAGTTGTAATTATAGAAAAGTCTCGCAGGAGTAATAAGGGAGGGAGCAATATAAATTTCACTAAAAACAATTGGTTGTAATAATAATTGAATAAGAAATTAAAGAAAAATTAATGTTTATTTTCTTCAATTTCGTCACCACTAACGTTTCGTCATCTATTAAACAACAAATCCTATTAAAAAATTATTTCTCTCTCCAAATTTATTAAAACAAAATGTCTTTTTTTTTTGGAAACGGCTAAACAATTGTATATAAGAGGGCAACCACTAGCAAGAAACTAGAGGAAGCCAACAACAGAAAGTACAGTACAATTTAAAAGTAAAGAAGACTTAGAGAAAGTTACAAGCAAGCAAATGGGGATATGCACCAATCACACCATCTAATAGCCCCCAATGAGCCCCTGTGTTTTAACCAGAAGAACACTAGTGCTTGTATATCGTCCACGATTTTGGTAGGGCTTGCCTTCACCTGTTTAAAAATTATGTCATTGCGAGCTTTCCATAAACACCAAATTAATCCGTAACAGATCATCATAAAAACCTTGTGTTTCTTGGGACATTGACTCCAATTAGATGCAAATTCCAATAGATCCTCTACGGTATTAATGGGTGCAAGAGTTACACCGCACCATCTCATGATCCATTCACGCACGGCTGAGGCAAAGTCACAATGGATGAAGATGTGATCTGAAATTTCATCGGTATGATTGCAATATCCACAATTTGGAGAGATATTACTGAATCCTCTAGAGATCAATGCTTGAGCCGATGGGACTCGTCCCCATTTCGCCCGCCATATAAAACATAACACCTTCAGTGGAACCTCCTTCATCCAATCTATTTTTATACATAGTATAGCAGGGGTAGTTTCGTCAAGCTTTTTCTGCAAGGCATGTACCGTGTATATGCCATCAGACCCAAGGGTGCATCGCCATGTATCTGGCTCAGAAGTTGGATTAAATGGCTCCAATGCAGTCAACAAATGCCCAAGATTCTGATTTAGGTTTTCCGACCAGGGGTTAGCATACCAGTCCCAAGTATACCCACTTGGTGTTACACGATCCTGAACCAAACAATATTTATTACTTTTCAAGACGAACAGTTCCGGGAATCTTGATTTTAACTTGTCATCTCCCCACCAAATGTCGTGCCAAAATAAGGTGCAATTACCCGAACCGACTAATTTTTTTATAATACAGTTGTAGTCCAAGTCAGCTCTCTTGAATTTCGTTGTGACCCCAGCGATGTTGTTCCACACACCACTAATTCCTTTCTTTGACAATTGATCTGCAGCACGTCTGGTAAGTTTGTGTAACCCGTTAATGACCTGATTCCAAAGAGCAGATTGATCTTCTCTCAGTCTCCACCACCATTTGACAATAAGTGCAGTGTTTAATGTACGCAATGATCCTACACCCAATCCGCCCTTATCAATAGGATTTGTAACTTTGTCCCATGAGGCCCAATGGATTTTGGATTTAGTGTCACTTCCACCCCATAGAAATCGGCGTCTAATCTTTTCAAGAGCATCCAACACCCCCATCGGGGCTTTGAAAAGAGAGAGATAGTATGTGTCGGAAGGCTACCAAGAACTGCTTTTAATAATGTTAATCGACCACCAAAAGAGAGCGTCTTTGCTTTCCAAATTGAAAGTTTGGAATTGAACCGATCGATTATGGGTTTCCAGTTCTTCTTCAGATTCATGTTCGCTCCGACTGGTACTCCCAAATAGTTGAAAGGGAATACCCCCACCTCGCACCCTAGAATATTCGCCCACCTGTTTGTTTCCCTAGAGGAGGCGCCAATACCAAACACCCTTAATTTATTGAAATTGACTTTGAGCCCGGAGGAAGCGTGAAAGCACTTTAGGATTCTACCTAGGTTGGTGATATTCGACTTGGACCATTCGCCGATGAAAAGCGCATCATCGGCATAGAATAAGTGTGAAATCAGAGGACCGCCGTTTGGGATTTTGATCCCATTAAAGATTCCTTGATTACATACTGATTTTAATGCTACATTTAGCCCCTCCATGGCTATGATGAATAGAAATGGAGAGAGCGGGTCTCTCTGACGCACACCTGTAGATAAGCTGAATTCTTTGGTTGGGGACCCATTTACGATGACCGAAGCTCGGGAGGATGAAAGACAACCACGAATCCATGTTCTCCACTTCTCTTTGAAGCCCATTTGTGAGAGAACGGAGTCCAAATATTCCCAATTAATCGAATCACATGCCTTATCAAAATATACCTTGAATAATAGTACACTTCTGTTTGACCTTTTTAGCCCATGAATGTATTTCATTGATGATAAGTGGGCCATCAAGGATGTTTCGGTTCTCAACATATGCTGATTGTACATCGCCAATCAGCATATGTTGAGAACCGAAACATCCTTGATGGCCCACTTATCATCAATGAAATACATTCATGGGCTAAAAAGGTCAAACAGAAGGTACTATTATTAAAGGTAACCTAAAGTAATTATTGCTAGCGTTCTAAAGCTGACGTTGCACTCAATATATACATTATTATATAGATACAAGCATAACTCATATATTTGTGTGTATCCTTTCCGATTCATTTATTCGCCCTCATTTTTTTCGTTCTTGTCTTTACTTGATAAACACAAATATCATGTCTTCATGTTCCTACAAAAAGTTTGCTCACTTACAAATCCCTCTCGAAGAGATAGCATCCGCCACCAGCAATTTTTCTGAAGCAAATTTCATTGAAAGAACTGAATTTGGAAACGCTTACAAAGGACAACTCTTGTGGTCTGAACAAGTGATTGATATTTTCGCACACAGGTTATATCGTGCGAACTGGCAAGGAGACACTGACTTCTGGAAGCAGATTTCAACGCTTTGTTGTCTCAAGCATGAAAATATGGTCTCTCTTATCGGCTTCTGTGATGATGGAGCTGAGAAGAACATCATAACAAAGCTTGAGGTCAACGGAAGTCTGGACAAATTTCTAAGAGAGCCAACCCTCACATTGATGCGAAGATTGCAGATATGTGTTGATGTCGCCCACGCACTGAGTTACATTTATTATTGTAAGGGACGCGATTTTAGCATCATACATCGTGATATCAAGAGCTCCACGATTCTACTAGATGGCCACTGGAAAGCAAAATTGTGTGGTTTTCATGTTTCCATAAATCAAAAAGCCTATCGAAGGCACCGTCTTTGCCTTGATAGCGCTTGTGGTACAGTGGGGTACTGTGACCCAACATCTATTCTAAGTGGAAGTGTGAGCCACAAGTCGGACGTATATTCTTTAGGAGTCGTATTAGTTGAAGTACTTTGTGGAAAGAAAGCAGTAATGGCGGAGGGGAATAGTAGGCTATTAGCTCTATTGGTCAAATCCCATTATGAACTAGGAAAACTAGATGATCTTATCGATCCGGATCTATGGAAACAAATGGACCCACAATCATTCAAAATCTTTTCACAAACAACATATTACTGCTTGAAGGAACAGAGATCACAACGCCCAAGCATAGATCAGATTGTCATTAAACTTGAGAAAGCGTTGGAATCTCAATGGAAACATGAAAATCCTGTAAGAGAATTCTTTGTTTCTTCTTCCCATTCTCCTTTATGTCATTATACCTCCCAGGGTTATTAATTACTAGGCGAATACCAGCGCGTTGCGCAGAATACAACAATATATTTGAAATCTTTACAAATATATGTTTTTAAATATATCAATGACGTTGTTGTTAGCTATTATATAATAAATCTTATAATAAGTTGGTATAAACATTGTTTGTTTTCAATTATATGATAATGTAGAAATCTTTTAAAATTCTGCAGTACCAATTGTCTCAGTTTCCTTTACCTACGGCTTACTTATGAATAAAATTGAATATATTATATGGTTTAATGATATTTATAGTTTTTATTATGATAATTAATTTTAAAAAGTTTATTTGCTTAAGATTTTTATTTCTATCATTATAATTATTTAAGACATCAAACATTGTTTTTATTTTTAAAGGTAACAATATATTTTTTGTATATAATGTTACTTTTAACTATTGTTGTTATAAGTTATTTAAAATAACGTATTTAGAAACTATTGATTATTTAATTTGGTTCTAGAAATTTAACTTTTTATAATTTATTTATGAATATTGTTAGTTTCTTTAATTTTAATTATTTAAAACAACAAACATTGTTTTTGTTTATAAAGATATATAATTTTGTTATATAATATTATTTTTAACTATTCTTATTGTAAGTTATTTTCAAGCTACTTATTTGAAAATTCTTAATGATTATAAAAAACAGTTTCATGATTTTTTTTGTTAATTTAGGATTATAGTTTAGATTTAACACCGTAATTAATAACTTTAACTATTTATAAAATAGTCTTTTTATTTTTTTTCAATTTTAACTGAATTTTTTATTTAAGTTAACCATTTTAATATTTTATTAAAATTAATAATTTAACTATTTTGCATAAAATCATAAATTATACAAAACTTATGACTTTCAAATGACAGTTGCTCACATAAGACAACATATTTAAACTAATAAGTTAACTATAATATGTTAAAAAGTTAAAGTCATAATTTTATATATAGAAGTAAAATATGATATTTTAATATTGTAGTTTACTTAGTTTATGGGGTTTAGGTCATTTTTGGTCACTTAACTTTTGGTTTTGTGCTCATTTGGTCACTTAACTCTTTTTAAGTTTTAAATGGTCATCAAACTTCTGGCTTTATGCTCATTTAGTCACTTAACTTTTGGTTTGGTCATTTAACTTTTAGATTTGTGCTCATTTAGATTGTGAGGAAATGCTTTTACTAAGAGAGATTTTAAGAAGATAGCAATTGTGAAAATTGTATTCTCAAATTCGATTATGATTACGACATCCCTCTTCATAGTTCGAATTGTGAGATTTGGCAATTAGTCTGAACATTTGGGATTTAGTAACATAAATTCTGAATTGTTTAGATACACATGTGAGCTATCTAAGGCAAAGATGTATGAGCTTAAAAAGCTTTGATAAAGGCTTATCAAAGTATTAGGTATTAGAAATATGAACATAAGGAATTCAATAAGCATTGTTTTCTGGAAGTTCAATTGTTTTCTGAATACATGTCAAAGCTAGTGGGAGCATAAGTGTTATGCTGGTAAGAAAATAATCATCATGTTAGTGGGAGCATGATTATTATGGTAAGTATTGCAAGTTAGCAATATTAATTATAGAAAACAAAGATTCACTTTGCAAAGTTGCAAAGGTTAAAAAGTTGTTTTGCTATAATTAAGAGAGAGAATATTATACTTCGTTTCAAAATTCTAGAGGTAAGATCGAGAAATGTTAATAAATTTAGTCAAGGATACATAGTGCATTCTCAAAATTCGATTATGATTACGGCATCCCTCTTCATAGTTCGAATTGTGGGAACATGGCACATAAAATATTATGGCAGAAGAATGATAAAGTATCACGTCTTTATGTGAGACATTATGCATCGTGTCCAATACGCTTCGGGTATAGGATCGATCGTATATGCTATAATATTTGACCATTCTAAAATTTTCCAAATGCCCTAGGGCATTAAGAGGGAAAAAGGAACTACAATCGGTTTCGACTAAAATAATTAAACAACTATCAAAGGACGATCTGAGGTTCACTGAGGATTTGTCGCTTGTGAGTAGTTGGAAGTATAGTATTGGATGGACTATATTGACATTATTATGAATAGATAAGATGCTTTTAAGAATGAGTTGTCATATAGAAAATATGGAAATGTTTCCATAAATGGGAGTTGGAAATTAAGAATCTATGTAGATTAGAAACTTTTATGCAA